TGAGTAAAGGTGACTGACCGCCGTCAGTCACCTTTACTCAGATATTGTCCAAGATTAACCTTCAGGGTGGATATAGCTCGCTAGCAGCCTCGCACCGAGGACCTATCCACGTCATCATTTACCCAGAATGCTTTGTGTGCAAATAAAATGGCTCCGTCTGTCTTAAAATATATATTTTAAAATTTACTAAAATAAACAGCCTACAGTTTTTTTACAGTCTTTATTTTACAGTTAAAATATATGTTTATCAAATAAAGTCTAATGTTACAACTGATCCTTGATCCCTTTAAAAACATTATGAGGTCACTTGATTCGTCATAAAGTGACTGATTGACTAATAAAAACTAAAGTTGTAAAGTTAAACAGCGCCCTCTGCTGGACAACACGTCTGACTTCAGAGTCTGGAGAACTGCAGATCCAGACCCACCTAAACAGACCACAGGAAGGTGGTTTGATTGCATGTTTTCTGTTCTTTGTTGTGTATATAATGTTACAAATGAAATGAATAAATTTCTAAATCAAATAAAGGATCTTTGGAGGAACACATCAGAGCATTCAACACAACAATCAGATGTTTTTATTCAACCTCCTGGTGTTAGCAGAGTCCTGAGTCAACACCTACCTTTCATGAAGAACCTGCAGATGGGGCGGGGTCTGATCTTCCTGTCTGAAGGATCTTTGACCTCCCCCTCCTCCAGGTCATCATCCTGTACACAAACAACACATGACATCACAGGTTTAGACTAAACATGATCGACCTGTGGGCTTCATCAACTCTGATAAAAACAGAAACAGGAGGTGGAGCAAACATCCTGTCCTTTACCACAGATCTGACCTCAACATTCAGACTTTCTACACAATTAAACCCTTTTTACCACATCATACACAGAGGATGGATTCAACATGGCTGCCATGCTAATCAACATTAGCTAACACTAAAACTAACAGAGCGAGAGGACACACCGTTATGTTCAAGATCTGTCCCAACTCTGCCTGTCCACCTGTCCACCTGTCCTGAGGTCACAGGAGACCATGTCCTGACTGTCTCTGAGCAGGAAATATTCAGTAAATATTAGGAAATATTCAGTAATATTCAGTGAATATTCAGTAAATATTAGGTAATATTCAGTAAATATTCAGTAAATATTAGGTAATATTCAGTAATACTCAGTAAATATTAGGTAATATTCAGTAAATATTAGGTAATATTCAGTAATATTCAGTGAATATTAGGTAATATTCAGTAATATTCAGTAAATATTAGGTAATATTCAGTAAATATTAGGTAATATTCAGTAATATTCAGTGAATATTCAGTAATACTCAGTAAATGTGCAGAATGTATTATCTGTTCAGTGATGGGCTGCTGTACACTGCACACACACTCTTTGGTGTGGAGACATGGAGAACAGAGTCCACAGCTGTGACAGAACTGGACCAGTCGGGTCAGAAGTCATGAACCGGGCCTGAGGTGAACTCAGCTGACAGTAAACTGCAGGTTTGTTTGGTTTTAACAGAAGGAGCTGTGTTCAGACGACCCATCCTGACCCACCTGTGTGTTTTTAACCCTTTAAAACAGTAAATAAACAACAGACAACATACATATAACATGTGTAAACACAGAGTTTGGATTAGCCACAGGTTCCTGCTACTTCCCCTGAAAAGTTTGAGGTGAATTCTCTGAAAGAATGACCTGAAGCTTTTTAACACCCTACAGCGTGGTCACAAGTTCAGAGTGCCTTCAGTCTGAGGAAGTTGTGGCCCAGGAAACACAAAACAGGAAGTCAATATTTATATAAAAGTCAGGTGGCTCAAAATTTGGACCCAAGTGCTTGTGGTGGCAGTGTGCACGGACCCACAGCCAATCAAATCACCCGTTTGTTTAATTAGGAACACACAGGAAGTCTTCTCACTTACATCAGTTGTGTAACGGTGAGGAACCAAAGCAATGTCACAATTTAACAGCCACATTTCCAATTTGGATTATTTCCAAATTCCTCAACTCAACTTCCTACTGAAAGTTTCTGGAAACTTCCTACATCTGGTTAGTCAGAGGTAATCCAATCAGATTTTAGAGATTTGAGTGGATATAATCTGGCAGGGGTGAGCGTAACCATTTATTTTCATTTCAGACAACCAGATCCTGTAAAACCAAGAAACAGACAGATGTGTAGGACAGAGGGGGACAGACAGATGTGCAGGACAGAGAGGGACAGACAGATGTGCAGGACAGAGAGGGACAGACAGATGTGCAGGACAGAGAGGGACAGACAGATGTGTAGGACAGAGAGGGACAGACAGATGTGTAGGACAGAGAGGGACAGACAGATGTGTAGGACAGAGAGGGACAGACAGATGTGTAGGACAGAGAGGGACAGACAGATGTGTAGGACAGAGAGGGACAGACAGATGTGTAGGACAGAGAGGGACAGACAGATGTGTAGGACAGAGAGGGACAGACAGATGTGTAGGACAGAGAGGGACAGACAGATGTGTAGGACAGAGAGGGACAGACAG